GCGTTCCGAAGCCGTCCCATCTCAACCACGAAGCTGGTTCAGCGGTTTTCCCGCCTCGTCGTTCCCGCCCGCGAACCCGCCCCGCCCGCGCGCGCGCCCGATCGCGTCGATCTCGTCGATGAAGATGATGCTCGGGCTGCTCTGGCGCGCCTGCGCGAACAAGTCGCGAACCCGCGACGGCCCGACGCCGACGAACATCTCCATGAAGTCGGAGCCGCTGATGGAGAGGAACGGGACGCCCGCCTCGCCGGCCGTCGCTTTCGCGAGGAGCGTCTTGCCGGTGCCGGGGGGCCCGACGAGGAGCGCGCCCTTGGGAATCTTGGCGCCTAAGTTCTTGAAGCGGTCGGGCGACTTAAGGAATTGCACGAACTCCATCACCTCCTGCTTGGCCTCGTCGCAGCCGGCCACGTCCTTGAACATGATCTGGGGTGAAGGAAAATCTGTATGAGCACTTGCGAAGAAACACGCAGAGTACGTTTTGCAAATGAGCATCCAAGCCAGTGTTTGCCCCAAAACATGCTTCCAAGAGAGGACTTCAAGGACAACACCTGTCGGGAAGAAGGCAAACATGAGCAATTGAAAAAGAGGCACGCAGAATGACCGAGCACATGCACCGGCAGAGCTCCCGACAACGTTTCGGGGAGGCCTTTCACCGCGCGTCCGCAATGAGCAATTAGGATAGGCCCCCAAATTCGAATCAAAAGCACAGTAGCCGCCCGCATCAAGCAAACGAGAAACACTATCAAAAGTGAGCTCCCCACCTTGTCCTTAGCGTTCTTGTCAATCTTGGACACCTGCGCCTTGCCCACGTTGAAGATCCCCCGTGCGCCCCCTGCGCCACCTCCCCCACCCATTCCAAGCCCCCCCTGCATCCTCCGCTGGAAGTAGATGTACCCCCCGATCAGGAGCAGCGTCGGCAGCAGCTTGAGCGCCTCCGAGAGCCAGCTCAGCTCGGTGACGTACGTGACAGGGACGTAGCTGCGGGGCTCCATGCCGAGGGAGTCCTGAGCATCCTCCAGCTTGCGCTCAAAGCTGCGGAGCAGGAGAGACTGAGAAAGATCAGCGTTTGACCGAAGCGGGTCTCGAAGCTGGGGAGATGGGAGGGATGAGAGGAACTGAGATTGGAATTGAAAGCGGGCTAAGGGCAACATAACGGGGAAACCCATGCTGACCGAATCTGGGCCTTCCCAAATCGCCGAGAATTCCCTCCTGTTCCTAGTCAGGCGACGCAACACTAAAGCCGGGGCTCATTATATGGAAACTGAGACGGGGCACAGAGGCAAAAGGAGCAGTGAAGAGGCTTAAATGGATCCCGATTCACCGATCCAAATCCATGCGGCAGGGCTCCAAAAGCTGGAAGCGGGCTGCGACGGGATGGCGCGCAGGACCTCAAGGAAACCAGAGCAGATGCTTGCGCACAGAACCTCAAGGAGACCAGAGCAAGTGCTCAAGAAACAAGCACGTACCTGTCAATGCTCCCTATGTGGAAATAATACTTGTACCCGGCCCCTTGCGCCTGCGCCTGGGGCCCCTGCGCACCTGGCTCAGTACCGAGCTCCCCTTCGCCGGCGGGCTTCCTGGCACTCGGCTTGAGATACACCTTGGCCGTCTGCCGGTTGACCACCTCAATCCGATCCACGGCCCCCGACTCTAGCAACTGGTTTTTGAACGCCTGGAAGCTGATCTGCAGTAGAAGAGCAAGAGGTACAAGATTTTCGCTTCTGATACGAAAGTTCAGAATGTGCATACAAGTAAGGAGCTGTGATGTTGCGACAGGCCTGGAAGCTGTTTTCCCACCAACGTTGGAGGCAAACCAAGCCACAAGGGGCGATTGGTCTTGCATAATGTGCTCATCACGTCCCCGCACAGAGGCTCAGCAGGCACGTTCACACGTCTTAACGAATCCCAAGATTGAAACTGTGACAGGGTAAGCCAGCAGCATCATTGAACGCCTGACCCACACAGTGAAATGAATCATTTGCGGCTAAGTAACAAGGCAATGAGCGAAGAAACCTGGCTGCAAGCCACTGCTCAGCTGGTGAACACTACAAAACTGTGCAACCGCTCTTGCACCGGACTCGACACTACCCCACACGCATGACTTCCATTTACCCCAGCCGCACGCAAATGGTGTTGACGTTTACGAAGGTACAATACAGAGTGCTGAGTTCAAACAACAGCTACGACGAGTAGTCTGAAAAGGGCGCAACACCTAAAATATGGTTGAAACCGTGACGTCATCTAAACTCACCTCCTGAGCCTCGTTTCGGCTGGGCATGAGCGTGTACGCCAGCAGAAGCATGCCGAGCGTGGTCGACAAGAACGTAGACGCGGTGTTCTTGCCAAACACCTCCCCAAGCGTGCGCCCCTCCTCCTTGGACTCTGGAAGAAGCACAAAAACACACAGTAAACCTCCGGCTTCAGTAAAAACATGGCTGAAAGAAAGGGTCCAAATCCTGCCTGCAGCATATATCTGATATCGCAACGCCTCTTGGCTGTCACCTCACGAAGTTACTGCAAGTGCTCTGAGTCGACTGGCCTGTGGCTACCAAACATTGATATCCACATCAAATTGTTTGTTAAATGCAAAAGATCAGGGGTGCATCGCGGTTGAATTGATGCACTATTTGAAGGGAATCCTTTTTTGGCTTGTCTTCCACAAGAGTGAGCAGAAGCGAGCTCCAAAAGGAGCGGACCGCAAAGCAGATTCACCCCCGGACAACTGACTGGGGCCAAAACCTTGGTTGTTGATGATCATGATACTAGCTGCTAAATAGGAATCATACGCAGCCACTGTTGAGTTCGGGAAGAACTCACCTGACCCTGCCTCTGACTTGCTAGGCCGCGCTCCGTCCTTCTTCCCCTTCGGATAAAAGTTCTCAAAACCTGAAAAAGAAGGACGAGAACAACAGACGATTCAGTGCCTTGTTGATTGCAAAGCACCACAAGGAATGTCACAACTGCTTTCTTGCAACTAGATTGGACATTTGGTGCTTGTTGCACAATCGCTCATAAATTGAATAGGTAGTCGAGTACACGTCAAGCCTGAGTCAGGTCCATACCAGAAGCAGAACGCAAAAGATATTTATCCAAGCCCCCAAAACTCTAGAAAGTCAGCCAGCAATACGGGCTCGGATAGAAAGGAAAGGCAGTTTGTATAGCTAGCGCTGGAATAGAACAGCCTCCTTCCCAACTGAGCATTCTCCCTGCATTTCATGGATCCTTAAAACCTGGGGAACGATAGCCCTTTGGAGGTGTTGAGGAAACACATGACACATGAGAGACCCAAAAACATTCCGTACGTTGTTCTTCTTCTTTGGACTCTCTTTGCAACTACATCATGTAAGGAGTAGGCAATGCTGGCAACTGTGCCTCACCTTTCCGCTTTGGCCCTTCTGTTCCATAAAAGCGCCGCGCAACCGACCACTCGCGCTTCCCCTGCGAGCGAATGAAGAGCAACGGTCAGCTCGCAGACTTTTCAGCAGTACTTCTGGGAGTGAGTTTGCTCCCTCAGGCAGGACATGCAATTGAAAGACTACGCTGCACCTTTCCTGTCACCTTGATGAGCATCATCCTTTGCTTTTCCTTAAGAAAGGCTCAGGGCCTTCAACACGGCAAGCTTTCGTCCAATGATATGTGCAAAACTGACGAGGAGCAAAGGTGCTTACCAAACAGAGAGCCAACAAGGTAAAGTGCCCTCCTCCTACCACTGTACATTCATCTAGTCAAACAAAACAGACAGAAGCTGGAGCACCTATCTGAACGTGATACAGATCTTCAAGATTGAGATAAGGAATCCATGCTTGTCAAACAACTACTGAAGCTCAGCTCAGGTCCCCTAACTTAACCCTAATCCCCTGAGACGTACTTCAACGTACCACCACAACCGAACCAGCATGCTGCAATCCTGCCATCATAAGGGGTCAATCACTTGGTTCAAGATACTTAACCACCCCTCCAAAGAAGACCAAACCAGCGCCCTGCTGTCAACACAAAACCTACTGCGCGCCGGAGAGGAAACCAAAAAGAAAACACTAAGAGAATTCTCAAGAATCTCTGCGTTCCCACCTGTTGCAAGAGCTGCCTGACCGCCACAGACCCCCCCAAGCCCCTCGGACCTGCCACCAGTTTGAGCGCCCCCATGCTAGAGAACCTGCCAGGCTGATGATGATGACAACTCCTCAAAACTTCCCCTAGCCGCCTGACAGCATTGGGCCCCTCACCCCCTTTTGCAGCTAAACTGCTCACACCTACTCCTCCAACCCTGCATGATGTTCTCGCAGCTCCTGAGGACTTCACATGTGCACCCCCCCTCAAAGCAGCGGATTCCAATTCGACAGCGGCTGTTCTTATTTGACGCGCTGCTATCGAGAGGCCCGATGCAACAGAGGATGGCCCTGCCAGGCTTCCAGACACGACACGCTCTGCGAGCTCTGTCAGCACCCCCCCTCTCGCGAGCTCCCGGACGAGGTCTGCGGCGTCAGACGCCAGGCGCCGAGAGCGGCCTGTCCCGGCCCCTGACATCGCAACTTGTGAGGGAACTCCTAAAGGGTGTACAGCTACACCAAGGGAGAGGTGAAAGGGAAAAGAAAAACGACAGCCTCTCAGTTGCGGCGCGCAGGAGAAGATCACTGAGGAGCTTCCAGAGACACTCACACACGAGAAAGATGAGACGGGGACGAAGCACAATATTTTCGGCCCAGGCTCGAGAGGACGAGGAAAAGGAGAAGGAAGAAGGCGCTCGAACCGAACAGTGCTCAGCTCCGAGTCCGAGTGCGAGTCTGTGACGTGGCCCAGCTAGGGAGACAGGCCACGCGACCAGTCAGACTCAGCTCGGTCAAGGAGGAACCCTAACTTCGGCAGACCCCTCCGCAAACGACGTGCCTACCGGTAGTTCAGACCTCATACTCCCCCGGCAGAAAGAAGCGTAGGTAGCTACGTTGTAACTTGTCGGGTACCTAAACGACCGGTACTGCACGGCCTGGTCCTAGCGCAGGTTTGCCGTATTACAAGGTTATTCCTTGACCCAGCTCGGCCACAACTAGACTGGGCATGCGGGAGTCCGTACCTCCAGTGTCGAGCGTCCGGTTTAAGTATAGCCGCGGCCCAGGCATGATTTAAATAGGTATGCATGGTAATAAAGTTGAATAAACACATTCATTGCAAATACATCATGGCATGCGTTGCATGGAATGTGTATTTCCATCTTAGGGAATGCTTTTTCATGCTGCAGAAACCACATGTTGTTTTGTACGCCAGATCCAGTACACCATGTTGTTGCGTGCTATATATCGGATGCGTGCACAATAGATACATATACTCCGTCACGCACTTTGCTTTGGTCTAGAAATGACTATGCCAGCATCGGGTCTGGCAAAGACAACTACAAGGGTTCTGCTCGGACAATCATTTATGGCATTGAACCTTGTTTCATTCAACAAGAACTCACGACTCCAAACTCGGATATTCAGAAGGCCATCATGAGATGGAGAACATGGTGATTGCCCGTTAACCTGATTGCACATTGATTTGTAGTAAGCACAATAGCAACGTCAGTAGTTGACCCAATCAAGAGATAATTACAGGAAGCATAAAGACTCCTTCAAAAGTTATCCTCAATTATGAGATAATAATCCGGTTCAGTGTCGAGCGCGAGCTTGTTGTTCTTTATACTTATCTTCTTCATATCTACCAAAATTCTTCCTACACTGACTTGGAAACGCCCTTCGCTTCTACTAACAGGTTCACAACGCAAGGCAAGGACCTTCCGTCCTAGCTACCAAGTCTTCGAAAAGTTCAGATAAGTGTGTTCAGCCTCAAGTAATCGCAAAGCCAGCGGTCCTCTACTTTATTTGCAGCATGCGGTTAGAAAGGTTTTTTGGGATTGTACAAGCCTCACGAGTCTCTGTCACTACTTCTCTGCTACTAATGCATCTAATGTTTTGAAACGCCTAGGACCACTGCACAGCAGCGGCACCCCCGCTGCCGGGCAAGGTCAGCGAGCAACCTCTTTCTTTTCACCAGCAAGACGGCCTACCCATGAAACCTCATGACGCTGTTCTGCCACGCAACCTAACACGACCGACTTCATCTTGATATCCCAGCTGCTATGCACCCGTTGAAAGACCAGCCCCACAACAACATACTCATACACCCTCCCCTGCCCCATGTCACTGTATCCTCTCGGCGCCTACATCTTTCTGCCCTTTGTGCCCGAAGCACACTGGGCAGCTTATATCAGTCCTAACTCTTCGTCCATCCCAGGCGGCACCGCCCACTGGCCCCCTCGCCCCTCCATCAGCTCCCGCCGTCCAATCGGAGCGCGCCACTGGTCGCCGTACTCGCCGTCCAGCAACCCATCTGGAAGACTGCGCGGCAGCGGCTGTTCGGGCGCCACGTAGTAGTCCATCGCTTTCCTGCGGTCCTTCAGGAACTGCACCGCGCTGTCGCTCATGTACTGGCCGCTGCGCACCGAGTCGGAGGGGCTGATGCCGTCGCTGCTGCTCGACTCCCCATTGGGCTCGCCCTCGAGCTCCGGCACCTGGAAAGAAAGGGGAAGTCCTGTCAGCCGACTGTGTAGGCGCAACGAGATTCAGAACCTGCTTCATAAGAGCAAACCAAGCTTGGCTGTGAGTCGAAGCAAGACATCGCACTCGACTGATCCTCCAATATTCCGGTTATCCCTCAAACAGGAGACGGAGTCAAAAAGCAGACGGTATCTCCGATCTTCGAGAATACGCAGTCGAGAACAGGCTCAAATCCGTTCTCAATCTGCATCTGGCAAACTGTCGGAATTCCACGGACATAAGTAAAAGCCCGGAACAATCAAGACTGTTAACCACAACGAACCTGTAGCTTCGCAGCCAGCGAGTTCCTGCGGTACTCAGCAGGAAGGCCTGGATAACCGGCCCGTCCACTTGGAGGAGGGATGCCACCCCGGGAGGGATACACCCTGGAGCCGTACGCAGCAATGCGCGGGTCGTCATCCACCGGCATCGCATGTAATCCGGGTTCGCGCAGTGGCATCCTGAAGGGAACGACGGGAATTATCACACTGTGACTAGCAAGAACCAACTTGCCACCTGATATTGAACACCCAGTAACTTCCCTCACACTTTTGACTCTTGCTCAAAGGAATCTCTCTCTGCAACGTTGCCAACGTTGTAAGCATACCCCAATTAGAGCAAGTACATACGGTGCTTGCTGTGCACTTCCGTGACAACCAGACAGCACGCCACCTCACCGGCCCATCCCCGCAAACGCCCTCTCCGCGTACGCCTCCGGGTAAGAACCCCTGAAGGGCTCTCCATACTCGGCAGCGCGCTCAAACGCAGCTCGTCTCTGGTACATGGCGTACTCGGCACGGCTCCGAGAATAGTCCATCTCGGAGCCCCTGGCACGCGCATCCTCTGGCCACATGCCCACGGGAGGCCCCCGCTGGCCCCAGCCATAGCCGTCCTCGGCGGGGTCGGCGTCCATGGGCGTCATTTCGGTGTCAATGATTGCTTCCTGGGCGAGGAGGCGGCTGGCAGCTTCCTCCTCCTGAGCCTTCTTAGCAAACACCTGCACAAAGAAGAACGAACTAGAGGTGAGAACTTGGTCGCAGAGAAAGGCTATGGTAGCCCTGCATGGCGAAAGAGAGGAAGGGGGTGGTGAAATATGGCTCCAAACACAGAGCACACTGCGAATCCGTTCGTTTTCATGGGTCTACATCCACTCGATCCACGCTTCATGCATGGGCTCTAAAACAAGAAAACAAAGCTGCTGACATCTGCAGAGAAGCATGCAGAGAAAGACACTCACAATTCATTAACTGCAGCTGTGGAAGTTGCAAAAGCTGACAAGAGATCAGAAGATCTCCAGAGAGTCACCTACAGGATGGTACTTGAGCAGCACAACACCACAAAGCACATCGATCGGAGAAAACCCTTCGCTTGGTCTTTTGACTGCTACCAGCATCATAAGACCTCGTCAAACAAGCCTCAGAGCTTACCATAAGCTCGCTGTCTGGCTCCGCATACATGAGAGCCACTAACTGCTCGCCGACGCTCGGCTCCAGCTCCTGGCAGTCACGAGCCACCTTGACGGGCAGGTTCTCGTTGTAGGGGTTCCGCAGATGGCGGGTCTTGGTGAAAGAAAGCTCACATAGCTGCAAAAGGAACCGTGGCGTCAAAAATCTAGTCAAGAGGGAAGCAAAGTGCTCAAAGAGAAACGATCTGGCTTGTGTTACGAGCTTCAAGCAAGTCAGGCTTCAAGTGAGTGGTCACACCTCAGAGCTGTATATCACAAAGAAGCGAAGCCTTCATATGAAAGATTGGAAAAGTAATGTAAATGATGTACACACAATGCAGAAGCCAAGAAAAAGTTGCCTTTTATCCCTTTCTTCAGACTGTATTTGTACAACTGAAACTTTGCTACAGCTTGCAAGCTCCCTTGCAGAATATGAATATCAGACAACGAGAAAATCTTACACGACAATCTTGATCAACCCTCTCCTATCTTACCTTTAGCCACCTTAGCCTGAAGTTGCGTCCAAACTGTGCAGTCCCATGGGCATATTTCCACTGGCCAGTCGCATTGGTTGCCCCAACTTTTGACTCCATGCGTGCACACCCCTGGAAGTGCCGGCTCTCGTTGATCGAGTAGATAAGAATAACGTTGGCGACTGTGTCAAAAGCAGCATTCAAGCGCTGCTCATTGTTGCGATGCGTCGCCCAGGCTCCACGCCGCGTGGACAGCTCTAAGTTCTCGCGGTTTGCTGACTTGATGATAAAGTACCTGGAACAGGAGCACAGAGAACATGGTTAGCCTTTCACGTCGAAAAGTGACAACCATTCATCCACAAGAAGACAAGCAATCATCGCAGGTATCTCTAAGACCAGCACTCTGAAGCAGACAAGGTATTACCTAGTGTGCTTATCCAACCACTCAAAAGAACATCAACTCTACTATAAGCAAGACTCGGATCCAGCATCTCCCCCAGCTCTTCTGCATTTATGAAGGGGTCAAGCCTGATTGCAGACTGCACTAGCTGCCTGGTCTCTGGAATCGGAACCACGCAGGAGCAAAGTGTGCTACGCCGAAACCTGCTTGAGTCTAGAGCCTATGAAAATATCACTTGCTATCTTGTATCTACCATCATCTTCATTAGACAAAAAACAATCTACGGGACCAGGCGTAATTAATCTTCGCCAAAGTAGATCAGACAAATGGCCCCCGAAGCAGGGTTCCCCCCCACACCTTGCAGCATACCAAATCTGATCCAACCCCACACACCCTGCCACCTGCAGAATACTACGACAGATACTACTGACAACCCTCTGCAACAAGCAGAACAGAGGGTGCAACCCTGCATTGGTACGGGTTCCCCCTAACTTCCTTCCTCGCAGCATGCCAGCGCTGATCCAGGGGCACTGACAATCCCACGTTCCAACCTGCTGCCTGCATATTCCCAAAGGCTGATCGCAGTCCACTAGACATGAGCGGACAAGGTAGAGTACCAGATGGCCAAGGACCTCTAAACAACCACGCAAGTCACAGCTTAAGCTGCTTACCTAGTGCTACCTGGCGGCATGGGATTGGCCTTAGTGGCAAATGGCATTGGCCGCATCATCGCATCCCCTGCTGAGGCTGCATCCTCATCCCTGCGAAACTTCATTTGTTGCTGCCAGGCACCATCTCCATCCACGTCATACTGGCCAGCAGATCCAGGCCGTCTGGCAGCGTACTCGCCATGGTGCACATTGTAGAGCTTCTGCTGAAAGCGCTGGACAACCTCATGGACTGGGGGAGGGGGGCCGGGCAACTTCTGGTGGCGATAGCGGCAATCGGGGCCATTGGGGCAGAAGCCCAACTTGTACCTGCAACAGGAGGGACAGCTGCATTAGCTTCCGGTCTGAGCACAAGCCAACGACTTGCCCTTGTTGGAAGCAGGTGAACGACTGAAAAGCAGCAAAGTAGGGGGCCAAGTCAAGAAACTCAGCAACTGCTGAGGTTACAATGAATAAAATGAGAATGCAGTGAAGGAAGCAAGATGTTGCTCTCAGCATGACAAGTCCCAAGAGTTTGATCCTTGGAACAAGAAAGACCATTTGAAAAGAAAAGGCCTACGAAGGATGTGCAATCTTGAAAGAACCATCTGCTGTGCTGGGGTGCCAGATTGTGTACTTTCACAAAAAGACTGCTCTTGGAACTCATTCGTGGCACGCGTGCTTCCAACCATCCTGATACTACACCTGAGCATCTAGCTGCGCACCAAGTGTGCTGGCTAGGTTTGGATGTATGAAGCACACTCAACCCCAAGGGACCAGGGAAGGCTTTCAACCAAAAGGAAAAGAGGACTATACAACAACAAATGCCACATTTACTTGCAAAAACCACCCCTAGTGCATGCATGCAAACCACGGCTTATCAGTCGATTATTATGAAGCTTACAATGATACAGTAGCTTCTGCATAACCTCTCTGACCTGCAAATGGCTACTCTGCCTAAGTACACAGATCCACAGCCTGATGGCTGCGCAGATTGTCTAACCCTGCCCTGCACCGCCTGCCCTATCTAGCTTGACATTTGCATCGAACTAGCTACTAAAAAAGCACCGAAAAAGCCAACCAATCCAAGGGCAGAAAGCAACTATTACCAGCGCTTCATGTACCATTGAGCAAGGAAGATGCTGCAACGGTCGGCCAATCCAGTTCTACAACAATGCAAGAGCTTGCAACAACCATAGCAAACGACATTTGGAAAGATACCCCTACAAGCAGGTGGTACTTACAGCCAACCTCATCCACTCAGCTTGAAGCTGCAACATCGGAGGCATTGTTGCAAAACCAAGCCTCCTAAGGAGAAGCAATATATGGTCACAAGGAAAGGCAGCGTACAACCAAGCAAGCCAAGTAGAAGAGGTGCTCACATGTTACATTCCTTCAGGTCCTCCAGTGTATGCTTGAAAGGGCATTTCGGCTCTCGGCACTCCCCATGTTTCGCAAAGAATCGGCAAACAGGCATCCGGGTCGGATCAAACTGGTGTAAGAACCCACACGAATCCCCCTTCATACAAAGACCCTTTAACCAATGCCGACAGACTGTTTGCCTATAGTTCCTGCGAGCCGCCATGTGGCTCCTCCCCACCACTTCTGGCGGCACATCCCCCAAACCATGACCCCCTCCATACAGATCGTCCGACGGAGTCCCAAGACGCCCGGTATCAAGACCTGCCTCAAAATCGAAGCACAATCCTCCATCAAAATCGTCCATCCTGCTACCCCAGAAGAAAGGAAAACACAGCTGAGCCTTCGCCGTGGTCTCATAGATCAGCACTGGGACAAACCCCCCAAGTGAAGAATCTCCAGGTGGGTACGTCGACCTCGCTCAATTTTTCAGAGCATCTCGATTCTCAACCCCTGCTGTAGATCTCTTATACCAAAACGTACGGCGTGGCGCCCTATTCCCTTCCTTCCTGAATCTGATCTGGTCTCCTTTGTGGAAGATTTGGAAAAACTAGCGGCCCAGTCTTGCTGGCCCTCCTCAGTCCTTCCTGGACTCTCTCATATTGAGCGTGCGGCGGGGACTCGGCAAGACGCATCATACCGGTACGACTTTCAGGTCGTTCGAACGGCGTTTCGGTTTTGGGACTGCAGTCGTGCTCAACTGCCGAAGTCCTTCCAAGAATTTGCGCCTGCAAAACTTATCGAAGTCGAATGGACCTTCCGGACTCGAAGGGTCCTTTCCTGACGCGAAGCATCCGGAAGACGCCGAAAATGGATCGAACCTTGTGTAATCAAAATCATTCACGTTTTCGATACGAAACTTAGGAAGCAGTGAGAACGCACTTATCTGGGTTCAGTTGAACTGTCCTCAGACTGATTGCAATGAATGACGTCTGCCTTGCTGATGACAAGTGTAACATCTCAAAATGACGACAAAATATCATGATGTCACGCTCTAAAATCGAGTACGCGTGTGAGGCTGCAGATATTTGGTGAAAAACTCTCTCCACCATGGGGCTCCGAAGACTGCAGAATGCTACCCCTGCTTAGAGTAGGTTACTGTCTGTCATGATGGCGTATATGCGTGGGGTACCAAGTGTCACGCTCTCCTTGCTGCCAGCTCCGGTGGTACCTAGTGACTCGCCGAGTCTCCCGTTGGTCACAAACACAACTGTTTTGGTGACCGGTTGACGATTGACTGGTTGGGAGCGCGCGCGCTGGCAGCATAAGGGACTCGAAGCGCGGCACCCGGGCCGCGTTCGGCGGTCCGGCGGCCGCCGCCGGCATCCGGCGGCGGCCCGGGCGGCCGCGGCGAGCTAGGCGCCCGACTCGCTCGTGGTCGGCCATGATGTCCCATTGGAGCGCCAGATCGTACCCTGAGTCTTGACGTTGTTTGCTAGAATTCCCAGTGTTAGTATCTAATAGGTAGTTCAAAACATTGGGTAACATGAATCATCAAAAAACTTGCACCGTTGCATCGAAACTGAGTAGCAAGCAGAGCACACCATTGCAATATGATTGCAGCCATTGTAAGTCCGTGTCACAATCACTCGGAGCTGGAGCATTCTTGGCAAGGACGACAAGAAACGAACAATAAAAAAGAAACGAAGGCTCCAATCCATCATCATGGGCCTCAAGAAGTCTGATAGCGGATACGCGACTGCCGGCCCCGTGTGGTCAACCATGCAGTATATGTCAAGGGTATGTCGATGTTGACCTTATGGAAAGCTAGCTTGCTGAATGTTTAATCTGCGAACGCTTGGCATATGTCGCACATTTCATGAATTCAACCCTTTCATGCAAAATTGGCTAATTTGCATGTTTGTCTTAACGTCCATGTACAACTGCAAGTTTGGCAGCTTAAGTCATTTGATCGCAGGTGAGTGATGACAATGATTGCATTAAACCACCACCCGCCACCTATAAATCCGGCCGCGATGCCGGCCGTCCTCAGAACTTGAACTTCTCAAGAGAAGTTCAAGTTCTCTCATGGGGCGCAAGCTTTTGGCACTGCAGAAATGGCTCTTGCCTACCTTATTGGTTGGCCACATCATGCTCTTTGCCGGCAATGCCAAGCTCAGTCGCCACATAGAGGCCTCAAGAGAGGGCGCCCGTTTTTACAGCTCTCAAAACGAGCTAAAATAGCTCCTATAAGGCAACCGCACCATTCTTGCGCTTACAGGCCTTGTTTTTGGACGTTTTTGAAGGCGGCTGGAAAAAGGAGCGCGTCCCAGCGGGGCCTGTTCCAGGCGAACAAGCTTGACACCGCCAGATTTGGTGAAGATTTGATGCTGCAATTGCTTGTGGGAGCGGCCATTACAGTGTTCAAAATGATGCGCCCCACGGTCGCAGTTTGAATTTCACAATTTCAACGACCGTTGGCAAATTATGCCACGTCGGCATTTTAACTTTGCCCGATTATAAATCGTGGGTGGTGGTTTAATCTGGCGACGTAACGTTTGTTTTCTCGGATTGAAAAGGGACTTTATGTTCAAGATTTGCAGCGCATGATAATAACCTTTAGCGTACGTACAACTTGGCTGCAGCTCGATCTTGAGAAACTGGTAGTGCCACAATTAACTTGTGGGCCCGGTTGAGGCCCATGCTCGTACAATATCCACTGCACAACTCGTTAACTTTTGTTCTACCAGAATGGTCATGCAATAATTTGAGTCCTTCAACATGCGTTTGGAGGTCACGCCGGATTGCATTCCGATGAGGCCTTACGCGACCTTACCAAGCATTCCGATATACTTCCGTGCAACATTGCAATGCATTTAGCCACGGGAAAGCACTGCTTGCATTGCACGAAAGCGATGCGACTGCATAACAAATCCTTACAAACATGCTTGCACTGAACCAGCTGATGCTTACAAGTGCTTGATAAGCATTGGAGCACAAGAAACCTTTTCTTAGACAAATGCCATCCACAGGCGGATGCCGGCACTCTGATTTGATGCGGGGGCTCATACTAGGCCGGCAAAAGCCTACGCGTGGCCTTTTGCTTAGCCCTAAAGCCCTTGAATACTCGGAACACGACAGGATGTCGACCAATCATTCGACGATGAAAGTACATTGACAATAGTTTGGCCGTAATCAATATCATAAAACGTCCCGCATACAAGCCTCTGACCTCAATCACGTCTCCAAAGGGAGGGCCGGTGTGATCTTGGCACACGGCAGTAACGCACCCTTACTCGACCATTACAACTTGCTAAGCTCCCGCAAGTAGTCCGGAAGCCCGGTGTCCCGCTCGCCATTTCCATCCGCGTCGCCGCCCTCGGACGGCACAAACTCCCCCTCGACAAACTTACTCCCCACGCTCGCCATCCTCCGCGCCGCGCGCTCCGCCGCGGGCCCGAACGCGCGGTCGATCGCGACGTCCACCTCGCGCCGCGCGGACGCCGACGGGCTCGACGTGTTGGCCGCGTACACGATGCGCCGGAGGACCGCTTTCGTGATCTCGGTGATTTCCACGCCTTCTGCGCGCATTTCTTGCACGAGCGCCGCCGCGTCCTTGTAGCGGCCCTCCTCGCCCATAATCCCGATCATGGTGTTGTACGTGGACGAGATCGGCTTCGCAGCCTTGATGCCCTTCTTCATGATGTGGAACAGCATCCATGCGAGGTCGATCTTGCCGGCGCTCCCGAAGCACCGGAGGACCTTGTTGTAGGTGGTTGCTTCAAACAAGAAATTGGACGACATTGTCTTGTTGAGCCAGCGGCTGGCGGGCTGCCAGAGACCCGCCTCCGCATACCTGCAGACAGAATGTGAGTGGCCTTAGCCTCCCAGAGCATAAATACTGAGCATCCCGCGCCGCGTTGACGTGTTCAACATTCGCCGAAACACCTCCAAGTCAGCAGCAGCAACTGATGGGCCACTGCACGGCTTAGCAGCATCCGGCTGCATCAGCATAAAATGACGCTTCCAAAAGGCAAGAACATGGATTCGGTCAGACGACAGCATGTTCAAACCACTCAAGCACACGAACTCGTCTCGTCCCCGATCGCACCTTTCGCACTGACTGCTTTTAAACAGTCGAGAAATCTTTGCTGACAATGCCATCGCCTCCCCAATCCCTCGGCTCCCTTGAGCCCCTCGCAATCAGCTTTGTTTTACGCCAGATTGATCTGGCAACAATGACGAAGACGGCTCCCACACCTTAACCAGCCCCAACCCTCACCTAACCAGGAACGTCCGGCACGTGGCCTCGTCCGCGGCGAGCCCGTCGTCCTCCATGGTCCGGTACCAATCCTCCGCCTCCTGGTACAGACCGCCCCGCAGGTACACGTCCAGCATCGCGTTGTGCACGCGCAGGTTCGCCTCGCCGGCGCGCGCTGCCACCTGGAACGCCGCCTCCGCAGGGCCGACCAGCCCGGCCTTGCCGTACACTGACACGATCTGGGGTAGGGAAATGAGCAAATTGAGAATAGAAAATCGTTTCTGGAGGTGAGTAGGTCCGAGTTTCCGGCAAGAGAGTTAAGGTTCCAAGTTCTTCAAGGCGGCACCGTGTTGCTCGGAAAGTTGAAGTTGCCAACAAGTAACAAGATTCGAAAAAGGAGACGAGGCCAAAAGAATCAATCAGGGAGGACGAGAGTCGAAAAACACAGCCTTGCCTGCGAGTAGGTCCGCACTTTGGGCTGGACGTCCGACGTCTGAGGCACTCGCAAGCAGGACGGTGTTTGTCACCGTCGATGACAAAGAGCATAGAGAACAAACATTGCCTCACCCGCGAGTATGTCTTTGTATGCGTCACCAATATCTGCTAAACGAAACCCGCTATACGGCAACAATAAACGGACCAAGATCTTGCTCATCCTTACCTGCGAGTGGGTCCGCGCATTCGGCTGGACGTCTGACGTCTCGAGGCTCTCGCAAGCAGGTTTTCAGTCACCGTAAAAACCAAAGAGCATAGACAATAAACATAGCCTCACCTGCAGAAGGTTTCTCAAAAGCAGAATCTAAGTCATCACGGACACGCTGACCGTTACTTGCTGACAATTGGACCAAGATTCTGCTTAGCCTCACCTGCGAGTAGGTCCGCGCTTTGGGCTGGACGTCCGACGTCTCCAGGTCCTTGAACGCGGCCACGGCGTCCTCGTACTGTCCGAGCCGTCCGAGCGCCGCGATGACGGAGCCGTAGATGACCTCCGCCGTATCCACCCCCGCCGCCTTCATGCTCTGGAACAGCTCCTCCGCCTGCTGCCGCTGCCCCTGCGCCTCCAGGCCGCACACTAGGCACGCATACAGCTGCGGCAGAGAGCGAGAGAATGTAACGTATCGGAAAACGAGTATTCATTCTTTCTCGAGGAAAAGATTGTAGCTTTTCTGAAGCAAGAGCTGTTCATCTTGAAGAGCATCATGTGAAAACGTGGAACAGCTCCTCCCCCGGCTGAAGCTGGCCCTGCGCCTCGAGGCCGCACACCAGGCACGCGTATAGCTGGGGGTAAAAAGAAGAGACTCCGTAGTGAAGAGTATGGTAACTTACACATGAATAGATGCGTCTCTGATACTCTACAAACAATAGGGAAATCGAGCGATCTGCAAGAAGTATTCACCCCGGGAGTGGAACAAAGTGGGGCACATCAATGCATTACTTCCGGCAGAATCATTCGCCCCAAGCGATCCTCACCTCCGCGCCGGCCCGGCCCTCCTCCCGCGCTGCCCGGTACACCTTTTGCGCGTCTTCCCAGCGGCCCGTGCGCACCAGGCCGTCCACGACGGTGATGTAGTGCGTGTCGCTCGGGGGAACGCCACGGTCGCGCATCTCGTCCAGGAGGGCAGCCGCCTCGCCCAGCTGACGTACGAAAAGAAAGCGAGGTCAGTCTCAAGAATTTGTGCTATCATGGTTGTTTGTGACAGAGATGGATAGATTGTACTCTTAACGCCTCTTGCGGCTTGACCCCTTCCTGACCACCTCGAAAGATTCACCAAGCTCCCCAACTTAAGCCCTACAGACTCTAGATGAATTAAGCACCCACTATGTGGTCCCGCGAGCAGACAACGAACTGCGAAGTATTGACCACAATTCAAACTTTGGCATTGAGCTTCGAACGACTCCTCATGACAGACCTTGGAGAAATGAGACTCCAGGACGTAACACTAAAGCACAAAATCGAGCAATTCAAAACCGAACAAAAGTAAAACACTCACCATGTCGTTGCGCGAGCACACGATGAGCATGACCCCGTACGTCATGAATCGCAGCTGCTCCTCTGGCAATGCGCTCTCGGAAAGCCGAAAACCCCGAATTTCCAACGCAAACCCAAAAAGTGAAAGCCTAAACCCGCAAGGTTTGGCAAACCCACCATGTCGTTGCGCGAGCACACGATGAGCATGACCCCATACGTCATGGAGCGCGGCTGCTCCTCTGGCGACGCGCATTAAACAAGCCGGAAACCCTGAATGTACAAACCTAAAACCCAAAAAAACGAAACCCAAAACCCGCAGGATCGGCAAACCCACCATGTCGTTGCGCGAGCACACGATGAGCATGACCCCGTACATCATGGACTGAGGCGCATTTTGTGGCAACGTGCTGCGTTGATTCCATTAGTCCTTACTTCATCCCCCTCGAAACCCTTAAACTCCAACCCGAGAAAGAAACCCCCGAACCCTGACATTTAGAATCCAAACCCCCAGGTTATTCAAAACCCTCACCATGTCGTTGCGCGAGCACACGATGAGCATGACCCCGTACGTCATGGAGCGCGGCTGCAGCCCGCGCGCGCGCATCTCGTCGAACATCTCCATCGCCTCGTCGTCGCGCCTCAGCTTGAACAGCGCGTCCACCACGGGGGTGTACGTCACGTGGTCCGGCGCGAAGCCGGCCGCCTTCATGCGCTCGAACGTCTCCAGAACCTTGGCGTAGTTTCCCGCCTGTTGGCAAGTATGTCAGAAGTATGAGAAGCCACTCTACTTTAAATGGCTCGTCTGCCCGATGAATGTTGGAGTGAAAAGCACGAAGGCCAGCGCAAAGCCAGCCACTTGAGCGTTTCCAGGACCTTGGTGTTGTTTCTTGACCAGTGGGGTACAGTTGAGGAGCGACTTTTCAGGGGACTGATCTGTGCTCCAACGGTGTGCACTTTGTGTCTTTTACGAGCAAGTCTGAATGTCAGGATGTGCATCGACTGCTGTGAAACAAAGTCGGCTTTTCTGATCAGACAACCTTCAAAACTCAGGCGTACAATCGCGCCTCTTGCATATAATGAACTTTGGAACAGGTATGTGGATGAAGTTTGAAAGTCAGTTTGAACGGTCCGCAGCAAACCCAGCCGCCTTCAACCCGCTGAAAGGTCTCAAAAACCTCGGCTTAGCTCGACGCACCTTGCTATGACCGTTGACGAGCCCATTCCACGTGACGTCATCCGTCTGTGTTCCCCCCTCCTGCATGTGGAGCAGAATCTCCTCGCTCTCGTCCGCCTTCCCTGCTGACGCCAGCAAATGCAGCAGCGAGTTGTAGCTGACGGCACTCGGGGCAATGCCGGCCTCCCGAAATCTGGATACAGCGGATCAGAGTTCAGGATTTGATTTTAGGACGTGGGGTCTGGGGTTTGCCATTGCCGTTCGCGTTTTGGGATGCCAAACGGTTTGGGGATTGGGTTTGCCTTTGCATCCAGGTTTTGCATCCAGACTCGCGGAAGGGCTAGTCTCAAGATATCACTAGACATTGCCGCTTTGGGAAGTGAAGTAATGGCCACGGCGGGTGGCGCCAGCAAGAAGAAACATGAAGAAAAAGCACACTGACGCCATATCTTCGAAGCAGGAGGTCCCCGCTGCCTGCTTCAGCTTGAGGTAAACTTCCATCATAACAGATCATAAAAGACGCACCTTGCTCATCATATTCGTCTATCGTCCCACTGCCTGGCTCCGCAACGCTTTCCCTTACCCCTACTTTTCCACACAACGGAAACAAACATTGCCCTCACTAACTTCGAAAAAATCCGAAGACAAACGCTTCCCTCCTAACGCTTCCCGCCAATGGAAGGACGACAAACGCTTCTCACTTGTTGTACACGTCGAGCGCCCCTTCCGCCTGGCCCAGCTTGGCGTACGCGCGCACCATTGCGTTGAGCGTGAACTCGCTGGGGCGCTCCCCCGACTGCCGCAGCAGCTGCATCGCGCCCGCGGCCGCGGCGTAGTCCTCGGCGCGCACGTGCATCGAGATGAGCGTGTTGAACGTCACCGCGTCGGGGGCCACGCCCGCGCGCCGCATCTCGTCGAACAGCTTCAGCGCCTGGTGCCTTGCGCCGGCCTGCAAAAGAGGGGAATAGGCACTTAGAAAATCTCAAAACGAGATTCACAGCGTTTGAAAGTGACCGTTACCGTGCCTGGAAAACGCGGCCGCGCGCTGCACCTCGTCGAACAGCTTCGGCGCCTGGTGGCGTGCGCCGGCCTACAAAAGTGGGATCAGGGACTTGCAATTCTCAATACGAAGACTAAAGAGCATCCGAAACTGAGTGTCACCCCGTCGGGGGCCACGCCCGCGCGCCACGTCTCGTCGAACAGCTTCAGCGCCTAGTGGCGAGCGCCGGCCTGCGGCATATGATTTGTGAGGGCCTACGATTGTAAGGCTTTTACAAGTTCAGAGGCGAAGAGCATTATCAAAAGTGGATATTACATCGTTGGGGGGGCACGCCCCGCAACTGGGTCTCCTCAAACAGCTTCGTCTTATCGGAGAGCTTGGATGGCTCTTGCTGGGTCCAGGCTGCAGAAAAGGGAATCCATGGACTCGTTGATGTAGTGTTTGTATGGTGAGTAGACTCTCCACCATTGGATGCACGCCATTAGGGCACCGCGCGCTGTTGAACACAGCGTCAGCGCCTGGTGACGTGCACCAACCTGAGACAACGAGTTGCAAAAACTCTGTGTTTGGTAATCACTTGATCGATGTCTGGCTTGTTCTACGGTCTACCAACCAAATGTACGCGGCAAGTCCCACCCTGATAATCTGCGACAGGAAGGGAAGTGTCAGCTCGAAGCCAAGGCAGACTCGCGTCCAACTATCGACCCGACAGAGACAAGCACCAGAACACTACTTGATACGCCCTCACCTTCCCGTAGCAGTTGATCAGCATGTTGTACGTCATCGTATTCGGCTGCAGCCCCCGCGCCCGCATCTCGTCCAGCAGCCCCATCGCCTCCTCGAACCGGCCCACCTTCCCGAGCGCATCCACCAGGGCGTTATACGTTTGCAGCGCGCCGATGCGAATATCCCCCCGCGCCAGCAACTGCCGCCAGATCCGCACCGACTCCGAGGGTTTGCCCACCTTCTCGTACATGCTCATCATCGCCCGATATGCGGCGCTCTCCGGGCGCCACCCGTTGGCCGCCTCCGCGGCCAATAGCTTATCGAACCACGCTTGGGCGTATGAGAGGTCCTTCGCGCGGGTGTACACGTCGACGAGCGTGGCGTAAGTTGCGGCAGTGAAAGGGATCCCCCGGGAGTCCATGTGGGCGGTGAGGCCGGGGATAGCGTCCATCTTTTGGCTCCGGTGGGCGAACGCAATGAGGATGTGATACGCAGCAGGGGATCCCTGCAGCCAACGGAAAGCGCGTTTTGAAACGGGACGCTCTGAACGTTGGCGACTTTGCCGAAACGATTTAGGTGGCGGAATCATTTCCCAGCCTCTGTTCGGCCTTTTCAGGGCTGCCAACCGGCACAACGTACAGAGGCTCTAGAAGCCCGTGTAATGGATTGACGAAAAAAGTGCAGTTCTCTTGGCAATGCTGGACCCAAACACACTCTCTGCCATGTTTCCTTCTTCTGGCGACTTGGTTGTAAGCATGGGGCTTCTGAATCTGAGTCCCCTGCAATCTCGTTGCTTCAAGAAACTTCCAAGCGACCTTGGAATTGACGACCCAAACAACAGTGGCTCGAGAGAATTCCGCGGCCCCACATATTACACCTTTACATGCCTACCCCAAACTCAAAACGCTCAAAAGATGTGGTTTGAAAGCGAACAGGCACCTTTCGAAATCCTGGCTGCGTTTCCATCCAGTCGAAGAAGAGGCGGGCTGTTCGGAAGCCCCTCTGCCGCCTCAGAAGCTCTAGAAGGTCGGCGTCGCTCAAGTCCGAACCGGACCACTTCTCCAGGATCGCCATGCGCTCGGGGTCCGAATCCACAGTCTGAAGTTCGTCCAGAAGGGAGGCAGCTTCAGAGCCAAGAGAGGGGCGGGTCTGCAAGCGAGGGGTGTAAACAGTTGAGCAGGGGCAAACCAGATCCTGTCATCCTAAAGGTGATAGAAAGCTGGAGGAGCGCTCCCAAATGCAGGGTCTAGGCAATATTGCGATGTTTGACTGGGGAGTCCCAATGAATTCTGTGCAGAACGGCAACCAATCAGCAATCGGATGGAAAAGAAGAGTTCAACAGAGGGATGCGGCCTGCACACGAAAGACCTGCCAAGACGCTGGCCCTCTGCAGCTTCGGCAGAGCAGCAGAACTTTCAGATGTCAGCAACGTTATGGGAACCAGCCCCTTTTGCAATCATCTGTACTGCTACGGAGCTTTGACTTTTGTACATCAGAGTCGGGGTGCGCGCCACCTTGTGGAGACACTTGCTTGCATTCTCTTGTAACTGCTTGAAAAGAGTGGCGTCAACCAAATGTCTGCTGCAAGATTCTCCAAAGCTGGCCATCTTGCCATAACCTGGTTCTGAACCAGGTGCACAATATCATGGCGAAACCCCAGTACGCAGAGCTTCAGCCGACCGGCCGGCAAACCGACCTCCTGCCACCTCACTTCCCCATCTCGAGTTCTATGCTACTGAGTTTTGCAACAGATTCTTGAAGCGCACCAACTCTAAGTTTGGTCCAAGCGGTGAGGTTTGATAGAACCCGCAGTAATGGAGCCCATCGTGCCAGGTGGCGCCTCACCTCCAGGTGGCGCTCCGCAATCGACTTGCTCCTGCCGGGGCCCCTCACCCGCCCGTCATCCGCCACCCACCGAGATCGCCGTTGCCCCCCCTTTTCTGCCTCCGTATCTTGGCCCCCGCTGGGTTCCACTTTGCCAGACACCGACGCTTGCCCCGCATCGTTTAGCAGGCCCCCTCTGATATCCGCACTGTCGCCAGTCTCCCCGTCAGATTGCGAAAGGGCGCCGGTGTCTGTGCTCTCCGTGAGAGCCCCTCGTGCTGCCACCAGAACCTGCGACCGCCTTTTGCTAGGAGTTTGCCCTGCCGCCCGTCCGTTCTGTGTGCTTCTGAAGGGGCGTCGTCCGGTAAGAGTCTGGACAGTGTCTCCTTTAAGGAGGACCTTGGGCGAGGTGGCTCCGTCTGGACCGCAAAAATTCACTGTCGCAGAACGTGCTCCCGCTGGAACGTGCAATCTCTTCCGGACCATACCCTTCTTTGCCTGGGAGCATCGAACCAAGCAGTTCGACCGGCAGCTCTCTGCGTCCTGTCCCACCACCGCATCCCGCCCCACTGAAACACCCCGACATTCCCCTCCCGAACGGACTGTTCGAGAAGGCCCATCATTGCAGCACGATGGCCAGTGCCCTTGGCGCACCGACAAACGACGAGGGCCCACAGGAGCGCTGGCTGCCGACTTTTGCCCCGGGGCTAGTACAGGCAGCAAACTCGCTGGCGCCACCAAACGCTGAGATATCCCCGCACACGCCACCATTGCAAAACCCCGGAGTGTCAGTCATGGGTTGCCCAGTTTTTGTAAACTGCCGCATGAACAAGGGCACTACTGTAGAGATTGAGGACTGCGGTGTGTATAACCCTTGATAATAAGAATTTGCAGAAACACCCCCTCTCTGCTTCAATGGTGGTGGTCGTGATTCTAACCTATCTACAAAGTTGCACCACCAAGCAAACCCTTGATTTCCTCCTATCTTCACGCGCTTGATCACACTCCTAACTTCATGCACGGATCTGCCATCAATTACAACAAAGTACAGCTTCTGTGAACTCTGATCTACATCAACCGTTGCACTCGAACCTGGCTCCAGAAGCGCTACCGGAGCTTTGTCTCGGTGAAGAGCACGTGCTTCTTGACAATGGGGTCGTACTTCATGAACGCCAGCTTGTCCGGCATCTTGCGAGGGTTCTTGCGCTTCACGTAAAAGTACCCCGTGTTGGCCGCCGACAGCAGCTTCACCAGGATGGCGCCCTTGCCCTTGGCCATTCTGCCGCCCCCGACGCCAGTGACGAATGAGAGCGAAGGTGTTTGTGATCCTAATGCTCGAAAGCTGTTTGGAGACAGGAAAGAGGAGGGAAAGGGAGAAGAAAGGGAACAGGCGTACAAGTACGTGGGAAACCAGTGCTCCAAACAGGATTTGAACCTGAGCGGCTTTCACAACCAGCAGCAAGCAGGCTGAGGGGGGGCGCTGAATGTGCTCATGGAATCTGGCGCCGGGGTGGAAACCCTAGCTGTATGTATTCACACTTGGCTATAGAATAGGAAATGTGTAGGACATGCTTTCTGGAACTTGCGGAGTGTGAATAAGCACGATGCATCTTGGTAGCGCGACTTAATTGCATTCGAAGACGTGAACCTTCACTCGGCAGAATCTCTGCATGTTGATCATGCAATGGGGGAAGACGAAATCAGAAGCTGGGGCGCCTGTCAGTGTTTCATGCACAGCTTCATGCACAGGCAAGCTATCAAGCTTTGACAAAGACAGCAGGGCTGCAAAGTTGGATAGAGCGACGGTGATCTGTGTGGATTAATGTCAGCTGCACTGCGCAGGCATTCCCCTTGCTTCAGCTTTTGGGGGCTGCAGAACTGCGATGAACATGCCATGAAAGACGAGATCTTTGATCCACGTCTTCTAGACTGCTGGACGCCCCACATCTGCTTATGATAGCAAGCTTAGCTAAGAGTCCTGCGGAGCAGCCTTCGTAGCTGGTGCTCCAAACCCCCAATACTGGGAAGACTCCCCACGGCCCTTGGCAATGTGAGGAACAACCTGGTGAAGAAACCCTTGACTAGTACAACCACTGGCTAGTGGCTTAGTGAAAGCCTGGGGGAGCGAACCTTGTATATTGTGTAAAAGCTCTCGTCGCTTATAAACCCCCAAAGTGTGATCAATTCTGGCCCGATAGAGAGAAGCGCCTCCCTTCGAGAAACCCCCTTGAAAACTGATCTTATAAAAAAACTACCATAATGTCTTGGAGCCTCCCTGGGTGGACCCGGCAGCCAGGCACCTTCCAACTGGTGCTGGGTTACGGGAAAAACCCAAGCCCCAACCCAGCTGGTCAGGCAGACCCACAGCCAAGCGGGATAGAGGACAGTTCGAAGAGCGGGTCCGATGGGGAGAAGACGGACGCTGCAGCAGAGTGCAAGATCAGGGTGCAACTAGAGTGGGGGGCGGGGGAGGACGAGGAGGGGGTGGTGCTGAAGCTGCAGTCGCAGCTGATGATGGCGCTTCCATATCCAGAGGTGAGCAAGGAGACCTTGTGAAGCGCAAAAGGGTGGTGGAACAATGAGCAAGGAGACCTTGGGAGATGTTAAGTGTTGTGGAACAAGCACGTGCTCAGAAGTTCTATGGTTGCTTTGCTCTACTTGGATTTGATTGTCCAACCTGAAGCCACTCCTTGGAGATTGGTTGGCAAGAAAGTGGTGCACAATCCTTCAAGAAACCACACTTGATGAAGACTGTCAAAGAAGAGTCGTTTAGACGATGGGGCTTCCAAAGTAAGTTATCCGGTGAGGATAGTGGTTTCGAAGGTCAAGTCATCTGGTTTCTGATGTCACAGCAAGGTCTTAATTTTCGATGGTTCTGGCAAAAATCTTGGGGGGGACCAATTTTGGGATTTCAAGTGAGGCGTGATCGAGAAGACTGACTTAGCGCAAAGATTGAGAAGAGTCTCTGGCAAATGAATGTAAGGAAGTTCTCTCAGCTTTCATGGATGGTTGGCTTGATAAAGAGAGCAAAGATTGAGAAGAGTCTCAAGCAAATGAATGTAAGGAAGTTTTCTCAGCTTTCGTGGATGATTGGTTTGTCAAACTCCATAAATACATAATGGCCTTACATTCTAAGATATTGCAGACGATCTTATTTCTGGCTCATATGCCTTTTCCGCTGAATTGAGACCAGGTTCAGAGTCGAGACTCTCTTGCAGGCTTGCTTGCAAGTCAACGTAGGGAGCTGGTCCTGATGACCCTCCTGTAAGCTCAACTTACTTTCTCGTTCACACTCTCCCTTACTTGTTACTCGATCAAAGAAGCAAGAAATGGTTATCCTGAATGGAAATCCGGATGAGTTGCGACCTAGGACTCTCGGTCCCACTCCCAGTCACAATCTCCTTTCAATAAAGGGAACCTAGTTCTTTACGAAGTAGAGGGGGCCTACAATCAGAGATCATATTGATCATAAGCCGTCCAGATATCTTGTGGATACGAAGTGTCTGAAGAGTCTGTACTCTTGCGTCTGCCTTTCTTTTCAAAACGGTTCAACGATTATGCTTTCATTTTACCACAGGAACAGGTCCAGGTTCGCATGGTGCCTCAGAGCGAGGCCGCCCAAACGACCCCAGAGGCCACAATCCCCCCCCAAAACCCAGGGCCCTCCGAACCCCCTGGTCCGAACGGGACCGATGCCAAGTCACCCGGAAGCGCAAGAACAGGAGACGTCAGCCCTTCTAGCAGTTGGGGCTTTCTGGACAGACTCGCGGCGTCTATGGGAAGGAACCCCAACGCAGAATCGGCACCGAGCACACCGGCACCCTTGGCTGACGTCAGAGGCCCGTCAGCAGCCTCCTCAGACGGGCCTCATGTAGGCACTGTCAGTAAGGGGCCCGACGAGAAACCGGACGGTTCGGTTAGAGGCTTCGGATTGCGAACGGCTTCCCATGAGAGACTAAAGCTACACGACGATGCGCACAGCGACAGCGAGACGTTCGAGGACGCACCCCACTCGTTTCCACCAACCATTGACACCGCATCCCTTGTTCCAACCCCCAGCGTGCCTGCGGCGCCAGGGGTGGTGTCAAGCGCCGGAAAGGTGCCCGTTCGCACCGTCGTGAAAAAACGCTCCGAGCGGTTGCGGGTGATTTTGGTGTCAAGAACGGCTGGAAGTGGGCCTTCAGGGGAGGGAGTCGGGGTGCTGAATAAGATCGTGGAAGAAAGCGAGATCCCGGGCGTGGAGCATTTGGCGCTTACGGAGGGAGTGCTCGGGTTCTGGGAAAAGCGGGGGGCCGACGCATGGGCCGGTCTCCGGACGCTGAACCTGAGCGGGTGCAACCTGTCGGTACGTCCGCTTTCTCTGGCAGCATTTTCTCCGTTTTCTTCCTTTTCTCCGTTTTCTTTCGTGCTGCTGATAATGCAACCAATGGAAGTCGGAAGCCACAGCGATCCTTAGTCTCGGAGGGGCCCTGCGTGCTTGAGCTTTGTCGTGGTTTGTCCCTCAAATCGAAAGTTGGAAGACCCTACGAAACAGCTGCTACACTTCGTGAGGGTCGGTTTTGCGGGCGTTCATTGGAGCTCGAAGGGCTCACGGCTCTGTTCTCTGCTGACGGAATCGACAATAGCCTGCCCCAAGTTTGATTTGTCCGGTACTGCAACCATGTTGGCGACAAAGGAAGGCAGTCAGGAACGTCGTAGTCCATGCTTGCCGTGTGACTGGACGTGTAGAGCTTGTGAGAGTGGTTTCGAGAAGAAAGTATTTGAAGCCCGGAAAATACACAGAAGCACCCCGGATCGAGCGTCGTTGTCGCCAAGCGCAAATGCTGGGACTCAAAACCTAAAGCCTTTCTGCCGGTATCGGTCCGATCCTCGACCCTAGTCGTGACGTCATTCACTGCAGGTTGTCCCCCCGGGCATCGCACAGCTGCCGTCTCTGGAGGTGTTGCTTCTGGATAACAACAAGCTGGTGGCGCCCCCGGCGGACCTCGGCAAGCTGACGTCACTGCGGAAGCTGAGCATGGACCACAACTTGCTGCTCTCAGTGCCAAGTGAGTGGTTGCTACTCGCAATACTCGGGCTCTAATTGCATCGGATACGATATTGGTTTCGAGCCGTTTAAATACCAACTCTGCCCTCCGGAATGTATTCTCTGAGGTCTTTGTCCTCAAATCCTGATTGCGGCATGGTACTTCAGCAACGGGCTCTCGAGAGCCCCGTCGTCTATGCGTGTAATTGTTTGTACTCCGCCTTCTTCACGCCATTGTAATCTTACATTGCATGAATCTTCTGAGACTCGCTCGAAAGCGGATGGGCCGGCGGACATTTTGTCAGCCTATCAAGTGCCCACTTGTGGCCACCCGTATCTTCAATCTCTCACAGGAGACAAAGTCTCAATCGAAAGGGTGGACGGTCGAAAAGCACGCCGTTCCAAACTCTAAGCAAATCTTGCGCCACAAACAACTCAACCGGTCGAAAAGCTCATCCCCCTCGTCCGGAGGAGTCGACGACGCGAATCCAGCACCTTGCTCCGGGACCGCTGAAAGAGCTCAACCTTTTTTGGCTGTCACACCGCCTCATTTCTCCCCCCTCAGTGGTGATGCGATCTCTCTCCCACTCCACAAGCCCTCTATTCCCTGCCGTTAGTTTCCGCGAGAGGATTGGCGAAAACCCAACTCAATCTCAATGTACAGTTTCTCGTCTCTCCTGCAGTCGAACTTCGCGAGTGCACGTCTCTGTCGGAGCTCTCCCTGGAGCACAACCGCCTCGTCCGGCCGCTCCTCGACTTCCGCTCCATGGCGCGGACCCTCCAAACCCTCCGGCTTTTCGGGAACCCTCTAGAGTTCCTTCCCGAGATTCTGCCGTGCCGCAAGCTGCGCCAGGTGTCGCTTGCGAACGTGCGGATCGAGGGTGACGCGGAGCTGACGTCAGTGGAGGTCCACGTGGAGGACGACGCGGGCGCCACGTCGTACTACTTTGGCGGGGCGAAGCACCGGCTGAGCACGTTCTTCCAGCTGATCTTCCGGTACTCGTCGTGCCAGGTGAGGGCGGAACGGGAGGAACGGGCGGAACGGGCGAACTGATGATGAAAGGTCTTCCTTAAATGTTCGTTGCGGTGTTCATTCTGGATCTCATCGACCCCAACTTTTCTTCGATAGTGCACTCAAAGGGGAAACAAAAGGCCTGAGGAACTCCGTTTCCCAGAGTAAGAACAAGCTTGGAAACACTTCTCAATTTCCGGGCCTGTAGAGCAGGCTACTTGCTCGATTCGCTTATCTTCTGTACCGCCTGAACAAAATGAAGAGGCAAGGATTTTACTTGCAAAAGATCATCGCGGGAAGGTAAGAGGAATTCCAGATTATACGACCGTTCCGTGACATCACGTTTGGAAGGGCTCAAAAGCTCTCAATTGGAGCCGTTTTGAAGGCCCCGTCTCCCCCCCTGCAGCACCCGCTCCTGGCCTCCGCCCTGGCGCGCATCGCTGAGGACGGCGAGAACAGGGCCTACATCGGGCGCGACGAGGGCGCGATCCGCCAACTCCTCTCGATGGTGCTGAGTGACGACACCCACGTGGTCCAGCAAGCGTGCAAGGCGCTCTCGTGCATCGCGATGGACGCCACTCTAGTTGCGCGGCTGGTGAAGGCGGACGTGCTGCAGAGTATCTGGGCGGTGCTCGGCTCGACGGAGCCGGAAATCCAGGTGGGTGGTTTTGGTGGGCATTTTGAGATTGGCGGGGGGCCTCCCGACGGGGCGCGTGACCCTTTTGTGATATACCTTGTTCCCGAGTGCAAATGGTTGAGTTGAGCTGAATTGACGAGCCGTCGATGCACTTGAAGCTGACAGTGTGCTTGAAAGAACGGGATAATCTACATCCACAGCATCTCATCTAAACGATCCGCCAACTTTCGTGGACGTAGATCGACCGCTTTAGTAGGTTCTTTTTTGAGGTGGCAGAAGAATTTTTGAGCTGCAGACTTTGTGCTTGCGCCAGCCTTGTTGGAAATGGGCGCCAGATTGCCGTACTCACTGTCCGCCGGTTTTTATTCTCGTGTCTGCGAAAAATGTAAACTGCTGATTGCCCAGAAGTCCCTTTTCTAAGAAGCAAGAGTGGTGAAAAACTCCGGCTTCGTCATCCTAAGTTTATGCTTTCGAGAAGATTGGATGGATCACAAGTGGACTCAAGTTGTACCAGACCGAGAAGCACAGTTTTTGGCGAAGCCGCCACGTGACTCTCCCCTGACGTGCCAGGTGTCCGTCCTCCAAGTCCTGGCCAGCGTCGCCTTCTGCTCCAACTCCATCGCCGCGCGCCTATTCACACCCGACATGCTGCACCGCCTCAAGGAGCTGTGCGGCAGTGAGAATGCGCTCAAGGTCCGCGAGGAGGCCTTGTTAGTGCTGGGCAACCTCGCCTTCTCCCCCAGCAATCGCCGCGCAATGGCCTCCGCACAGGGCCTCCGCTCCCTCCTCGCCAAAATTGCCCTAACTGAACCCGCCGAAGACGCGCCGAACCCTTCCCAAAACCACCCGAAACCCTCTCAGAAACCGGTCCTAGGTCGGCCCAAATCCTCCCCAGACCTGACAAATATGAAGAGCGCAAAACTCTCCCATAGTTCCTCAGAACCCTCGCACAAACCCGGGGAACAACCGTCGCCTCCGGAGGGATCCCCCTTCTCGTCCCCCCCGGCGTTCCGCGACTTCACAGGCGCGCCAAAAACGTCAGCGCACGGGAGCGCGGCGCGCGTGCGCGCAAGCGCGGTGCGCGCGCTTGCGATCATGGGCGAGAACGAGCTGGTGAGAAAGTCCACCGGGCGGCGGCCGCTCGGCTCCCGGGGGGTAAAGATCCTCAGCCTGGATGGGGGGGGGATGCGGGGGGTGGCAACAGTGCGCATGCTGCGGCGGCTTGAGAAAGGGACGGGGCGGCGGATCCACGAGCTGTTCGACCTCATATGCGGGACATCGACGTGCGTTATCAGAATCCTGGCTTCTTCGCTCGCCAATAACTCCAAGTTTCGGTTGCTTAGCAGGATGCGCTTAGTAAAGGGTGGATCGGTTCTTTGCTTCGTCAAAGATGAAGCGAACGAGCTCCCTCTGAGGAACTCTCGCAACATGTGCCCGGACGAGTGCGAGAGCATTCACAAGTCGCTTTTGGGTAATCTTTAAAACCGTCTTTCTCCTTACCAGAGGCGCCATGCTGGCCGTTGCGCCGAGTGTCAAAAGGAGATGAGCCTGGACGAGTGCGAGGGCGCCTACAAGCGGCTTTTTTCTAACATTGACACTACTTTCCGATCATTTCCAGAGGCGCCATGCCGGCCGTCGCGCTCGGTGCCAAGGGGATGAGCCTGGACGAGTGCGAGAGCATCTACAATTTTCGTTCGACATCGACACCGACTCTCTCCGTTTTAGGGGCGCGGGGCGCCACCCTAGCCGCTTCTCAACTTCAACATTGACACCATCTTGTCTCCTTGTCAGGGGCGCCATGCTCGCCGTCGCGCTCGGTGTCAAGGAGATGAGCCTGGACGAGTGCGAGGGCATCTACAAGCGGCTGGGCAAAATCGTGTTTGCCGCCGACGACAAAGACAAGGAAAAGGACGCCGCTAGCTTTGCCACGTGGCGCGAGAAGCTGGACCTGATGTACAAGAGCGGCGCGCAGAACCTGCGTGTGGTCATCCACGGCGCGAAGCACGACGCAACGCAGTTCGAGGGGCTGCTACAGGAGATGTCGGCGTTCGAGGACGGGCGGAACCTGCTGATTGAGACGGCAGGACGGGTAAGTACAGGAGTGGTATAAATTGCTGTGGCCGAGATCTTTTCCCCATCCAGTTTCCAGATAATCATCTTTTTGAGTCGAGGATCTTAATTCGAAATTGCCGATTGCATGATAAAGCCACATTATCTGTTACAAGTCGATCGCCGAAAATGCTTCCTCCGCTTGAAATCGGGCCTACTGTGTGCATAACCAGATTCGTTATGGGGCTGCTGCTTGTTGATTGTTCTGAAGGGGAAAGTAGCATTGCATCTATCAGGGTTCCCGGGGAATTGTACGCGAACGTTTTGAGGTGTACGAACTGCTACAGCTTGAGTCACCAGACCGTTCATACTCCGGTACAGCTGCCCTACCCCTCAACACACGTCGAAAGTCCCCGGCAAGATTCACCAAAGTTTTGAAAAATTCATTTCTTTTCCCCATTCAGGGCGGCCCCAAGGTCTCCGTCGTCTCCACGCTCGTCAGCGTCACCCCCGCGCAGCCCTTCGTCTTCCGCAACTACCAGTATCCCCCCGGAACGAGAGAATCTGCCCCCTGGGCCGCCCCCGTAACGCCCCTCTCTCCGCAAATCAACCCGGGGCAACCCGCTTTTGGCGGCGGGGGGGGCGGCGGCCTGGCGGCCACTCCCGCGCCGACACCTGTCCAGTCGCGTGTCGGGATGGGCCACGTGGCGTACATGGGCTCGTGCAAGCATCTGGTGTGGCAGGCGATCCGGGCCAGCTCGGCGGCGCCCTACTATCTGGACGACTTTTCGGACGGTGAGGGAACAGGGACGATGTCAGCGAATTTTGGTGGCTGCCTTGACGGGACCCCGCCGAATTGTTCAATCTCGAACTTGTAGGACAAAACATTTGGCAGGTGCTGCACGGCCTGCTGCGGTAAGTCCCGAAAGTGGTGGTACCTCGAGGATCCATCGCATGCGCCCTTCTAAGCGGGGTCGAAATGAATCCTCCAAGAACTCTTCCTTGCACTATTCTGGCCCCGCGCAGGGAAAAAGTAGAATTCACCTGGCAAGCAAGATGACCTATTGAAACACTCTTTCCCGCGTCCCGGAACCCTAGCTGCCGTTTTTAAGTAACAGTCGGTGGCAGGATGCGGTGGCGCGGTCACGGTATCTCGTAAGTTCGATTGCTTGATATCAACAGGTTTGAAAGTAATCTTCGTACCCCCCGTTTTCGGGACAAACACCGGTGGCAGGAGGTCGTGGTCTTTTTAAGCTAAGCTGCAGAAATTTTGTTACCCCGAAACTTGGAAGTAATTTCCGACCCCTACCCCCTTTTTCCAGGCAACAACCGGTGGCAAGACGGCGCGGTGACTGCCAACAACCCGGCCATCATCGCCGTCCGCGAGGCGCGGCTCCTCTGGCCGGACGTCCAGATCGACACGGTCGTGTCGCTCGGGTGCGCGAGCCTTCCCACGAAGCCACGTGGCAAGAACTGGAAGCACGTGGACACGGGGAGCGTGTTGATCGAGAGCGCGTGCAGCGTCGAGCGAGTGGAGGAAGCGATGGACACGCTCGCGCCGCTGGTGCCTAACCTGGAGTACGTCAGGTTTAACCCGGGTGAGTTTCGGGGTTAACCGTGTGGGGTTCGGATTCGAGAAGGTTTTGTCTGTGTCGGAGTAAGACTAGAGTCCGCCTGAGTTTCTGGTGCCGGTTCGTACACGTCAGATTTTATCCCCGGTCAACTGGGGTGAGAAATGGTAAGACGAGAATGAAGAAGCCCATAAGCTGATAAAGCAGAGCAAAATCAAGAAATCAAAAATAAAGCAACAGTCTCGAGCCCACAAACAGCTCGCAGCTTACTTCCTGTCTCCGCTACTTCAAGCCCGGGGGACCAGCCGGAACCAGGCTAAAAGTTCGGCTGCCGCAAAAAGGATTTCAATTTGCCAGCGCCCGGTATGTGTTCGCATGGTTGTTTGCACGTAGAATCAGATGAGAATCGATGCTGCGGGAGGGAGATTAATCGCTTTGATTTGCAGTGGACGAGAGCGGCGCGATGGAGCTGGACGAGACGGACCCCGCGCAGTGGGCCCGCCTGGAGGCCGCCACGCAGGACTACGTCGACCTGCACGACGCGCGATTCGCCGCTCTGTGCGCGCGTCTCACGTCCGACCTCCCGGAGCCGTCCGAACGCGCGACCGTGGCGTCCGAAAGCACGAAGCCGGCGTCCGAAAGCAGAAACCCAGCGTCCGGAAGCGTGACATCAGCGCCCGAAACCGGGAACCCAGCGTCCGAAAGGGCGACGTCGGCGACCGGAGCTGAGAAACCAGCGTCCGTAGGTGTGACGTCAGTCGCCGAAACCGGGACGTTGGACGAGGATGCGGACGCGCCATTGCTGCGGCTGCGCGAGCGCTCGGTGGGCAAGGGGACTGGTGGGAAAGTGGGGAAAGAAAATGGAGGTGGTACGGGAGAAAACGGGGGTGGGGTGACGGAAGAAAGTCAGACGGAAGGGAGAAGCCAGGAAAGCGAGAGCGAAGAGGAAAACGGTGATGATGATTTTGCTGACCTGAGCGGATTGCGGCGAAAAATTGTACATTCAAAGTCCAGGAATGCAGGGAGGCTGGAAGAGAGTGTTGACGCGTTAGGCGGGCGAGAACTAGACCGAGGGTTTTCCTTCAGCCAGAGCTTTGCTTTCGGGGGGCTGGATGCGGGCGACGAGGTGCCGGTGGAACCGAGGGTGGAAAGCGTCACGCAAGACGCGATCGACCTGAACCCGACTGCCACGTGGCAGGCCGACGGAGGCGCTCCCAGTGCCACGTGGCAAGTCGAGAGAGGCGCTCCGCTCGAACTGGTTCCCGTAAACGAAGTGCCCGAGTCTGGCGCCTCCAAGACAATTGCCAACAGGAGCAAGTTGGATCAAGGAAACGTGACAAGTGAAAGACCGGCCGGGGCTCCGAGAACGCAAGACGCAGCCGCGCCCCCAAGGGGTTTGGAGGTTTCCAAGCGGTCTGCGGCCGCGGTCGCTCTCGGCCTGCGGAAGGGTTTGCTGTTCGTCGAAGCGGCCCCCGGACCCGCGGCCGCTGAGGGGTTTGGGGTTTGGGCTGACGGCGCGTCGTTGCTGCACCACAGCGCCTCGCACCGCCCGCTGATCGATGCGGTCTGCGAGCAGAATAAGATCAGTCGGGACGTCTTTGACGGCCGCATTCACACGGGGATAAAACCTGCCAAACCTGCAGTGTTAACCCGCCCGCTTTCCTCCCCGTCGCTGCCAACCCCAGTGAAACCAATCTCACGGTCCAACTCGCTCACGAAGCTCTCTACGGCGCGACCGCCGAGCCCCGGGGCCGGCCTCGCCCGCGTGAACGTCAACCGGGAAAGCAGGGACGGGGAAGCGCCCTCGGAGCCGGAGGAAGCTCTAGGCTTCCCGGCGCAGGCCCTGTACGAGCGCCTGCAAACCGCGCGCTCGGTCGGGGTGGTGCATCTGGCGCTGAGCGGCGACCAACGGGGCCTCGTTGTGGGCTGGCAGAGCGATGTGGTCGCCGTAGCGGAGCCCGGGGAGGAGGCACGTGCCTTTCTGGGAAGCTTATCTGGGGGGATGCGCTATGGGAGTGTCGCGGAGCTGTGCGCACGTCACCGGCAGTTTGACGTCGGAGCAGCGGTTCTCACGCTGATCGGGCGCCACACGCAGGTGAGACGACTGAAGGTTCATGTTGTTTGCTCTGCAGAGTGTGGATATGTATCAAATACGATCTCCAGAAGAAGTAGCAGTACTGTATCGCAATCCTTGTTAGGCTATTGCAGTCTCGCATAGAGGTTGAAAGCGACTTTCCTGCATACATTACCCCCTGCCAACGAAGCACTGCCGCAATCGGTGCGGGACAAGCCGGCGCCTTTGTCGTTGCGACGAGTGGAAAGGTTTTGTATCGATAGACTCACGTTTGGAAACTTGCTCCGTCGCGGCTTTGTCTCTCTGTACTGGACGCCTTTTTCCCTTGGTCATCTCGTCCAATTTGCCAGAGCAATTTTGACACTCGCTGCTTGCAATCCACCTGTTCGCCATCGAGCAACTCATCGGCCCGTTTCGTCGCCAAGAGTATGTCCCTTGTTCTGCGCAGTTACTGCCCGGGGGAGAAGAGGTCGGGGCGTTCGTATTCCGCCGGACAGTTCCTTCCGCCTTCTTGACTGCGGACGACGTCCGTAAGATGGTCGGCGTCTGGCGCGACCGGATCGTGGTCAGCAGCCGGTTCGCGCTAACCCAGCCGGTTATTGAGGCTCTCCTTGACGGAGGCGCCAAAGCGGTGTTCGAGCTGGCGCTTTCGGACGGGGGGCCGGCCGACTTGGACGGCAATGGCATGGCGTCCGGAGAAGCGACCACGGACGCTTCCAATTCATGGGGTAGCGCCATAACGCCAGTCGTCCGGAGCGTATTCACACCGGCCGTTGATCAAGCGCCGACGCCAGCTTCCAAGGGGAAGCAACGGAGTGAAACGGACTTTCTGTACAGCACAGATTTTGATCGACCTGGAGATAGCGTTTTGGAGGAATTGCTCGCGTCTTTCTATTCGGCGCTGTATGAAGAGGGGCTCTCGGTGGATCAGGTGGAGGCGGCGGTGCAAAGGTCTGGATCCCGAGGGGGTTGCCGCTTAATCTGCCATCTCCCAAGTCATTGAGCACCGTCGAGACAGTCCTGACTGACACACGGCAACTCCAGAATGAAGTTTTGTTTCCAGTCAGAGTGGTTCAAATAGAGACGCTTGCTAACCAAACATTGCCGTCCCATGGAGTGGATGTGCACGTACATCCAGATCAGGCTGCTTTAATTGAGTAACACTGCTGACCATTGAAATTGACATGATAACATGGCGTGGAAGGCTCACATCCGTCGATCTTCAGCTGAGTCAACGTTGTACAAGCTCATACATAGGTTCACGATCGCTACGCGTATAAGGCTCGAATCAAATATCTGAAGGAACGGCCGAGTCGGGTCTGATCAGATCGCGCGGCTGCCAAGAAAGATCAAATTCATTCATCTACGCGTTGTTGCTAGAAGTTAGCCAACCTTCAACAAACTGGCGTTATATACAGCCGAATCCCGAAATACTTCGCATGGCAATACGAAAATGGTGGCACATCTATTTTGTCTTGCAAATTTGCAATCGGGACTGTCGACACGAATCAATGTGCCGGCCATATATATGCGACGGCAGTGCATGCGGCGGCGGCGGCTTTCAAGCTATGTCGGTTGAGCGCCCTAACGGTTTCGAGGCTCGATCAATTTTCGGCCGATCGCATTGCGCACGGCAGCGCGCTGCGCCATGCACTCAACGATCATCGCGTCACTATTGATTTATTAGTGCATTTAACAGCAAATATACCGTAGCTGCATGATCAATAGATATCCGACGCGGCCGGGCCCGGCTCCGCGGCCGCGGAGTCACTGCAGACGGGGTTTAGATGGGTTTAGCGCCATGCTCACTCAAACTTCGCCGGCTGTTCAAAGAGCTGGGCTAGTACTTAGGGG